AGTATATTACCATAAGCAACATGGAGATTTTGTTTTATAATCTTTTTACAATAAATACCTAGAAGTAAAATGGCTTGCCAGGAAGGTATCACTAATTAATAGTAACAGAACAGTGAATATAAGTCCACTTTACCATATTGTCATAAATACTATTTGGTAGTCCTTATTCTGTGTGCCATTCTGATATGTTCAAAATCTCTTTACAGAAAACATATAGTTTATGTAGTTCACTGGTAGAGTGCTTGTCAAGAATACACAAGGCCCTGAAGTAGATCCCAAGCATCCCATGCAAATCCCCCTCCCAAAAAGTATATTTCATTGATGCAAATGACATTGAGTGGTTGTCATTATGTTACTTGTTGTTTTCACTTTGAGAATGGCTGAATCAGGTCTTTTCATTTTTTATTGTGTTTTGTTTTTTCTTAAGAATTTAAGTTTTTTTTATATACATACAGTAAACCTTTGTCATTTGTTAGAAATCTTTCTCCCTCCCTCACTACCTTCCTTCCTTTCTTTAAAATGAAATCCAGGGCCTCAAACGTGTGAGACAAAGTTCTATTTACTATTTTCCATTAAGCTCTATCCTCAGTCTTTGGTTTTCACTTAATTTTATTTTGAGACATGGTCTCACTAAGTTGCCCAGGCTGACCTCGGACTTGCAACCTTTCTGCCTGAGTCACCAGGATAGCTACGGTTACAGGCATGTGCCCCTTCCCCAGAGGAAACGATGTTTTCTTTTAAGATGTCTTTCTTTTCATGGTCACTAGCCAAAATCCTGTCTTCTAGATTTGGTATTCTATCCTGGCCTTCATTCAGTCTGTTGCATACACTTCCAGTGGAGATTTTAATCTCCTGGATTTCTGTTTGTATTTGTTTCATGGGTTCTGTTTCTTTCTTATGTTGGGCTTTCATGCTTTCCATTGTTTTCCTGAGCTCCTCCTTTTTTAAAAAATCTGTGTCTGCTTTAATTTCATTCATTTTGGTAGTCATTTCTTTTTGCACCTTAGAGATTATTTTTTCTGTAGCCTCTTACACTTGTTTTTTCACTTTTGTTGCTATCATTCCAGAAAGTTTCAGTGGTTGGCTTCTGATTTCTTCTATCTTACTCTGCTCTGCAGGTGTGGGGTTCCATTTTGCTTCTGTGTTTTCTCATTTCTTCTTTCTTTTTTTGGTATTGTATTGTTTTCTGTGTTGATTCTTATAGGTTTCTTATGGTAGATAGTTTTATTGCCAGTATTGAGGCTTCTCTAGGAAATGGCTGTTCCACAGCTGTTTCTTCTAGATGTCAGTGGTTCTTTGTCTTTGTGTCTATCTGAGGAACCACCTTCTCAAGGTGTTGAGAATGAGAAGTTGTTACCTATTTGACTCAACACCTAGTCCTTTGGCCCTGGATTGTGGTGATGGTAATGATCCCATATAATCACGGTGTTGTCATATGGGAGAGAAAAACTGATTATAGCATGTATGATATCCTGGCCAAAGTAGTACAGTTAACAATAACAATAGTCTCAAGTGCAGCCTGGCTACTAACAAACTGTGGTAACTTTTAGCCTGATACTTCTAACCATAGAAGCAAATTCTACAGTTGTGTTACAGAATCCGGCATATACCAGGAACCTGTATGCAGTGATTCTCCCTTAAGTGGAGTGATTTTACCCTGTTGTGTGGGGAGGGATTAAAAAGATAGAGTTGAGTGGTCCTGTATAGCAGGAGCAAGTATAGGGGCATAGGTAGATCACTCAAGTTTTGGGAAACTGGAGGACAGAAAAGGGAGAGATGGAAGAGGAAACAGGGAAGTATTGAAATGAACCAGGCAGAGAAGAGACAATGTTTATTCACATGCAAGTATCGTAAGAGCAAGCAAGATAGTTGGCAAAAGAGAATTAGACAAGTAGATGAAGATATAAAGGAAGATAATAAATCTAAGTCATTAAAGAAAGGGAAAAGAAAAAAGAGACTAAAAACAGAAAACAAATAACTCTGAAATATAAAAGACCAAATTAAACTAAATTAAACAAAGACCTGAAGTGGACAGAAAAAGGAAAACTGATCAAACAGAAAAATGAGTAAAATTCCTCTGGTGTTTGCAGTTCTTTTGCAGGTCCAGGTCTGATCTCAGAAATGTGTTGTATACTCTAGCCAGTTTTGCAGTGGGATTTGTGCTGAGTATAGGGCTAAACTTGGCCTCTGGATGTGGGGGCTGGGATTGGTGTTCTGTTGCTGGAGTTCTCCCCTTCTTGGGTCACTGGGGGTCCCTGCGTGAGACAGTCTGACCGAAATGATGTTTTCTTAATTTCATTTCCACAATGAGATTGTCCTTTCAGTTCATGAACTCATGACCATTAGTATAGCATGGTTTTAAAAGTACGATTTGCTAAAAAGTACTGTACTGCTTTCTTTTATTTTCATTTTTTTTTCTTTTGTCTTTTTGAGACAGGGTTTTGCTATGCAGTTCAGCTTGGTTTTGAACTCAATTTGTAGCCCAGGCTGGCCTTGAACTTGCAGCAAGTTCAGCCTCCCAAATGCTGGAACTACAGGTGTGCACCACCATGCCTGACCTGTACTACTTTCTTTTATTATTGTACTTTTTATACTTTGTTGGTTCATATGTAACTCCCATCTTTCTCATTAAATTGTAAGAGCTCATTGGGATGATGGCTAGATAAAAGCATTGTGTGTGTGTGTGTGTGTTTCCCTGACATGCCTTTTGTAACCTTGGGTTTTTTTTTTTTTTTTTTTTTTTTTTTATTTTAAAGAATAAAAGAAGGATAACATAATAATAGGGGGGACTTAGCAAATTACAGACAAAATGGTAGGAAATTATCAATGGTTATCATTTTACATATTATTGTCTACAAAATAGTTTCTCAGGAAAACAAATAGACAAATAATAGTGAGTTACAGACAAAAGAGGTAGGAGATTATCAAGAGTTGTTGTACTATACTTTGGTATCTTCAAAGTGGCTTCTAAAGAAAATAGAGCTATACATGAGTGACCTATTGAAAAATCATTAACTATTCTCAATGGTTGTTGTAGGAAACACATAATAATAAACATACATTATGAAATAGGATAGGAACATTACAAACTTAACACAGTTATGGATAGATTAGTAGGAAAATAATGGCTGCTGTAATACATGGTGGTATCTTCAAAGTGGTTTCTCAGGAAGACAGAGATATGCAAGAAGGATCTAATAAGTAGTTACAGCCTAAGGGTTGTCAAAAATAGCATATTACCTCCTCACCAGTGACTCCTTTCACTGAGGTATGATGGCTGGAAGGAAGGCCAGGATTGAAAAGAAGGACCGAGAGACTTGCACCTGTGACTAGCGACAGGCTGTTTTCTTGTTCCTCCATAGTCATGATTACCCAGGGCTCCTCGATGGAGATGACGGTCTGGCCAGAGGGAGAAGGCAGACCATGCCCCAAGCCCTCTCATTCCTGTTGGACTAACTGGTAGCATGGGTCTGATCTCTGGGGCCTCCACCTCAGAGGGCAGACCGATCTCCAGTGGTCTCCTTTGCATCCAGGGCATGGCCCATGGGGCCTCTTAGGGCAGTTCCTCTTGAGGTGGCCTGGCTTTTAACAGTGGTAGCAGATGAATGCAGTTGTCGAGTTCTTCTTGGAGCCCCAACCTTGGGGTTTTATTTAATACATTGTCACTCTGAATTAGGAATCAGTTGGAGATATAAATAATCACTATAGATATTTTTAAATTGAAGGGAACTTAATTAAAATACCCAGACACTTCTAAAATCATTAGAAGAAGAAGGCTTAAAGTTTCAGAGTATTAAAACAACACTGCAGAACTAATTCCAAGTATAATCAGAAAGCTAGGATACCGGGAACCTGTCAGTGCAGCTGCTGCTTCCAGGAACATCAGCATTGATGGTATAATTCAGGGATCTGAGAGGAGATGCTATGACTGTTTGCTTCTACTCTACAGCAGTAGTGATGACAACACAAATGTCCTGTGCTCTGCCTCTGAACACTCACAGAACTGGTAATTGGATGCTGGCACTGTAGAAAACTGAAGTACCTTTATGTGCATTTTTGCAAAAGTAGTAGCCAGACACTCTTTTGAAATTATACCTTCCAACTTTCACATGTAGGTGTTTAATTTTTAGTTTGCTAGCTTCTGGAGAAAGTCAGGAGGGGAAAATGGATATTAAGTATCAATTTTATGTTTTCATCATAATTACTTGGAAGCCCAGTCCTGACACCCCAAAGAATTTGCCCTTGCCTCTTTGGTGCTTTTGTGTCTTTGATGAAAGAATTCATTCAAGACACATAGGTGGTTATGCAGAATTTTTGGTAGAATTTATTGTAGACAGAGTTACCCCTTCAAGTAAGAAAGTAGTACCAGAGGACATCTGCATCAGTATGACTCTGTATATCTTTTTAGGCAGACAAGAGTTACTCCTGGGGCTCAGGAACTAGTGTGGTTTTGAAGTTTATCAGTGTTTTACTTAGAAGATACTTTAGAATAGCAAAATATGTCTTTTTTAGATAGTCAGTGTTCCCTCAGGGGCTTTTAGGTATGTAGTAAACTTATAAGAGAAATTTAGAAAAGACAAGTTGTTAATTTAAGCCAGGTCCCAGCCCAAGGCAAGAGTGTCTTTAAAGAGTATTTCCTTTCCTGACATCATTGGGCTGTAGGCCATGGCAGCCCAGATAGGCCATGGCAGCCCAGAATGCTGAATGCCCTGTTTTAGAAATAGAGGCCTTGTGCCTTTGGGTCTCACATCTAATACATGATTGTTAATGTGTTATACATTAAGTTCTTTGTTTCTTTATTTAACTGTAATTGCCAAAAGCATGCTATTTTGGACTTCCCTTTTGTCCCTGAGGCCTGTTAATGTCTAATTACCTGCCTAACAATCACAGTCATATGTGAAAGAGAAATTGTTACATAGATAAGAAATGATGAAAACTGAGGATTTTGTTTCTCTTAATTTTGATTAATATATATGAAGAATTAATTTTTCCCTTTTCAGCACTTGCTGGATGTAAATTCTTTGAAGCATCTGACTAGACTGACCCTGCAGGATCGCATTACCAAGTCTCTTCTTCATTTGCACAAGAAGAAGAAACCTCCCAGCATCAGTGCCCAGTTTCAGGTTGTTTCCTATTCTATTTCCACCAGTAAGATTGTGTTTCTTTCCAGTTGTCATTGAAGGTCAAAGTGATCTGTGAGGAACTTGACTAGGATATGATTATGTGACTAAAAACCGTATTTTAATGGTCACTTTATAAAGAAGTACCCAAGATGATAAAAATAAGTCACCTGCCTTTTTTTATGTTCCATTTTATGCCTCTGGATAGTGGATTTCTCAATGAGTAATTCATTATTTTCAGTGTAAGCAGAATGTGAGGGAGAATTATTATAAACAAAATCTGCCTTTAAACCTTATGGCCTAGTCATTGTTAGCATAATGGTGTCTTCTTGGGTTTTTTTGTGGTTAAACTCTGTGCTACTGCCATCCGTATTTAACTAAATGAGACTGTAGGATTTTGTGATAATTTTGTTTATATTAGAAATACAGGTTTTTTTCCTTTTTGGCATTTAGGAATAAATATAATAATAAATTAACCAAGTAATGTATGGAATAAGTGTTTGCAAAATACTTTTCTAAATTACCTCTTCTATTCTTAAGTTTTTCTCTCCAAACTCTTTTGCTAGATACTACAAAGATAAGCTGAAAATTTTGTAGATAACTGTACCTTGTATAACAGAAGCACCATATTGCTCTTAACTAGAAATTTCCTTGTCTGTGGTATCTATAGTTCTACATACTTTCTTAAATCCTCCTTTTAAAGCCAGGATATTTGAATACAAATTACGTTACTAATGTGTCATTGAATATGTTAATTGGTTTATAAGCACTAGAAAAGGGAACCCAAACAAATACCAGTGGTCTTGCTAATTTAATTGAAGAGATGAAAGTAGAAGTAGAGGCAGCTAGAATATGTGGGGCATTGTACTGGAGAGGAGGAAGCTGCACAGAAGCAAGCAACAACTCAGGACTCTTCTTGAGTGTACAGCTGACTGTTGATCTGTGCAGATGTGAGTGAAAACTACATGAGACTAAGGAACAAACCACTAGAATCCACTAGGTGTAACACACACATCTAGAAGATTAGTTCTGTTACCACCAGCCAGAATGAAGTGACTTGTTGGTACATGGATCAGAATGACCTTACTTTAGTAATAAGACTGAAATAATCCTAGTGTTAAGACTGCTCTGCCCTGTCCTTATAAAGCTTAAAGGCAAGTCTTGAAAGAACCAAGGTCATTTTAATGAATTTAACTACATGCCAGGGGAAATACCTGTTATTTAAAGAAATCCAGCAGTGTTAAAAACAGTGTGTAGCATCTAATCAGAAATACTTGCATGCAAAGAATTAGGAAAATAATCCATAACAAGGAGGATAGTTGGGCATGATGGTGCATACTTGCAGTCCCAGCAGTTGTTGGGGATGAGCTGGGAGGATTGCCATGAGTTCAAGCCCAGCCTGAACTGACCCTTTCTTTTAAAAAAGTGGGGGGGGGGGTTGTTCAGAGTAGACCTAAAAATGACAAGAAAACATCTGTAACTTGTGGGATAATAGCATGTCTAAGTAGGTGTTATTGGAATCTTACAAGAAGAAAGAGACACTCGTGCAGAAAAACATATTTAAAGAAATGAAAAATATTTTCTGACTTGGTAAAAAAATACAAAGATTAAACAATATCATTAAACCATAAGCAGAAAAAATACACCAAGGTACATAATAACAAATTGCTAAAACCAATTATAAAAAGAACATCTTAAACATAGAGGGAAAGAAGAGGTGCAAGGATAATAAGAAAACAGTGGATTTCTCATCAGAAACTATAAAACCCAGAAGACAACAAAGTGATGGTTTTAAAAGATTGAAATATATTATCATTCTAGAATTTTTGGCATGTTGAATATCTTTGTCTTAGTTACTTTTCTCATTGCTGAGACAAAACACCTGACACCCAAAGTTAAAGGAGGAAAGGTTTATTTAACTCACAGTTTGTAGAGGTTTTAGTCCATAATCAGCTGGCTCCAAGGCAGGGTGGTGTGGCAGAAGGGCAGCTGTTCATCGCTGTGGAAGACAGCAAAAACAAGAGCAGAAAGGAAGAGGAGCAAGCCTCTTTTCCTCCCTTATATTTTATGCAGACTGCCTGCCCTAGAGCGGGCTGTAGCACTCAACCCCAGCTCTAGACAATGTACCAGGCTGTAGCTCCCGACCCCAGTGCTAGACAATGAACCAGTCACAAGCTAGATTCAGCCACCTCTGTAAAACCTGCCCCCCATGACTGCATGAGGCTTTGGGGAGACCTCCAGACACAAACCATAACGATCTTTTTTTTTTTAAAAATGAATGTTAAATAGAGACTTTGCAGGAAAAAAGCCGAGAATTCATTATTACCAGATCTGTAATACCAGAAATACTAAACATAAAGCTTGAAGAATAATGATGGGGGAAAAAACCACTGGAAATTTGGGCCTACATAAATAATACCGGAATGATAGAAATGTAGCTTAGTTGAAAATGCTTTTTTTCTTTTAACTCTCTTTAAAAAGATAATTGGTTGTAGCAAACAAAAAAAAATAGTATATTGTGGGCTAGAAATAAAATATATGAAAAAAGTATCATAGAAGAAAGTAGGGCTTAGATGAAAATGTGCAGTTGCAGTTTTTACACTCTACAAAAAATGGCATAATACTATATGAAGGTAAAGTGATAAAGGTGAAAATCCTAGGCCAGTTCTTTAATTAGGAGTATAAGTAATGACCTAGTGGCAAAAATACAGTGGAATCAATCCTAAAATGTACAAAAAAAACCCAGAAGAAGCATCTAATTGACAAATAAAAATAAATAGCAAGTTGATAGGGCCCCCTCCGTTCCTTCCTCCCTCCCTTCCTCCCTCCCTCCCTCCCTTCCTCCCTTCCTCCCTCCCTCCCTTCCTCCCTTCCTCCCCCAGGTTAACACATCACACATTCACGTTTTAGTCACACACCGAGGATTCTTAGGCTTCATCCCACAGTGGATGGCAGTGACAGAAATGGTGTGAAAAGACCTCAGTCATTGGTTAAGTCTCCAGCTATGACAAACAGACAAGAATACACCCACTCTGTCCTGTAGTCTTCCTCCTTACTGATCACAATGTGGAGATAGGCTGCGACATCAGA